AGAACTCTACATCCAAAAGCAACAGGATACACATTCTTCTCAAGTGCACATGGAACATTCTCCAGAATAGACCACATACTAGGCCACAAAAAGAGCCTCAGTAAATTCCAAAAGATTGAAATCCTACCAACCAACTTTTCAGACCACAAAGGCATAAAACTAGAAATAAACTGTACAAAGAAAGTAAAAATAACAATTCTCGAGCTAAAAAATATATCTAACATATGACACCCCCCCCCACCCCTCCCCACCATGTATCCGTGCCATCCTCTGGATCTGCCAGGATTCTGTTTCTTGGCTGATTTTACCTGATCAACATTAAGGTCTGAATAATGCAGTGTTAACCTTTACCCATGTAGGTATTTCAATCTCTTAGGAAACCTTACAGATTAGTCAAGCATGATTCTTTTTTCATGGAGAGTATGCTCAACAGTACTCTATGCAAGAATTTCTTACCCTTTATTATAGATCAGTGATTCTTGAACTTTAACATTCTCATTAAAATACACATTCTGATCCAGCAGGTCTTAGGTGGGACCCACGATCATGAAACAAGCTTCCAGATGATACTCTCATGTTCACAGGGTACATGGTTACAGAATTTGTCATGAAGAGCAGTGAAACTCACCAGTCTTCTAGACATTACTGGGGTCCTCCGGGCAAGCTCCTCAAGAGGTGAGTATACCTGCAGTCTGCTGGAACAGCCAACATTCATGTTTTGGTGAGCACTTCCCTCACTTTATCCTTACGTTTCTTCAAAACTCTTCAGTATATATGCACCCAGTTTCCCCACCCACCTCTAGTCTGGTTAATTAAACCTGGTTCATGTCATCTATACTGTTATCCATTAGATATACTTAATCCTTCAGTTTCAAGGGGCAGTGTGTGTCTATGACTGCAATTCTCTCTCCAATTAAACCCCCTGCAATCTTCATAAAATCTGCAAATCAAATTAAGCCACTTCTGAATTTTTAGACATCAAATATGAGAGCTGGGGTTCTGGAGCAAATTTTGTTAATAAATAATTTATTTGTATTGAGAACTAGCAATTTTTAAAAAATCTTTATTCCTAAGCCAGAGGATATAAAGTTGTGATGTTATCACTGAGGATAAATGTTAAGAAGCAAGTCACCTACCCCCTACCCTTACATCATGGCAATGTAAGAGGTATCCCTTTCTTTACAAACATCCTTCATATTACACAGATGTGAGTTTTAAGTCAATAGCAATATAGCCAGAGTTCAAAGGGGTCTGACTTCACAGAAAAGGCAGAGTTGGGGTGGTCTGTCTGAACAACACATATTACAAAGTCAGGCCAAAATAACTTTTTGATCACTCACTCTTATTTATCTATTTTCTATGGCTCTTTCGTCCCTAATAAATTATATAATCAAGACAATCTATGCTGTTTATCTCCTACTTCCAGTACTAAAGCTTTATGGAAATGATGCACTGAAAATGACTAGAACCAGACCTAGGGAGATTAAGTGCGATCTTAATTACTTAATTAGTGGCTCAGAGGGAGCTAGGGCATCAAATATGGATTTACAGAGAGCCAGAGAAGTCTATGGGCCATGGAAAAAGGAGAGCCAGGATCATTTCTGGCATTTGGAGAATCTGGAGACATGTAACATACAGGCTAAGAGGTACTAAGGTCCAGGGTGGAGACCAGGTAACCATTCATTCATTCAATACTCTGCAGTCTATGAGGTGCTAGGAGAGACAGCAGAGAAAGAGTCAGGTAGGGTTTCCCCTTCCTGTGGCTTACATTTTACTTGTTACCTAGATCCAGCCTTCTTCCTGGTTTTCCCTAAGCAATCTTATTACTGAATGATGTCTCTCAACTGTTTGAGAATTTATGATTTACACTGTATTTCACAAACTCAAATGCATACAAGGCCAGGCACATTTAAATGCACAAATCAGTGTTGATTTAAGACCATAGTGCATGGTAAAGTTTGGCATTCTGGCCTAAAGGCAATCAATTTTTTAAAAACTTAGTATTTTAGGGTCAGGGACTGTACCTAGGGGCTTTATGGTCTACATTTTTATAAAAAGACCCAATTTCAGGGTCCAATTTTAATGACAAGCAACTTACCAAAAATATAATAAACAGGATTTCTATCTTTAAACCTTTTCTTTTGAATACATTCACAAATTTATTCAGCCTTGTAATCTAGTTTTGATTCATACAAAAAATCATTGTTGCACAACTTATTGGGAAAATATCAAGAAATGTCTGGAAACCCTGGGTTCTAGTCCTCTTTTCATGACCTTCTATATAATCTAGGACAAGTCATTATCTTTCTGAAACTTCTCAGGATTACTTTGAGTTTCAAAGGCTATGTATGTATAGGTTCTGAACTTTGGGAAGGAGATAACATGACCATCAGTGACTTAGGAAGCAGACAATGGGAAGCAGAATCCACAGAGACAGCTCAGAGGAGAGAAGGTAAAAGAAAACATGAGAAGAATTTGGAAGTTAAAGGAGGAATGTGATAAAACTAACACATCTAAGGTTGGGCTGCCATAACAAAATACCACAGACTGGGTGGCTTAAACAACAGAAATTTATGTTTTCACAGTCTGGAGCCTAGAAGTCCAAGATCGAGGTGCCAGCACGGTGAATTTCTGATAAGAGTTCTCTTCGTGCCTTGTGGACGTCTGCTTTCTCTTGGTAGGGAGAGAGTGCAAGACCAATGTAAAAATTCCATCAGGAAGGCTCCACCCTGGTGACCTCATCTAAGCCTAATTATGTCCTAAAGGCCCCATCTCCAAAGGTCATCACACAGGGGGTTAGGGCTTCAGTGTAAGAATTTGAAAGGGCACACAATCCAGTCCACAGCATTCTGCTCCTGGCACCCCCCAATTGATGTCGTTCTCCCATGCAAAATACATTTATTCCATCCGAACCCCCCAAAATCTGAACTCATTCCAGCATCAAATTCTGAAGTCTAAAGTCTCATTTAAATATCAGCTAAATCTGCTATGTGTGAGACTCAAGGTATGATTCTTACTGAGACAAAATTCCTTGCCAGCTGTGAACCTGCAAAACCAAACAAGTTCGTGCTTCCTAATACCATGGCAGGACAGGCATAGAATAGACATTCCCATTCCAAAAGGTAGAAGGAAGAAAGCAGTACTGGTGAGGTAGAGCAGGGACATGGGACAAGCATCATAATTTTTTTCTGCCTATGATTTAAATGCTGACATGTAAATAGTAAAGTAAGAACATCTTAAGGCTAAGATTCCATTGTAAAAACCAGAGTTGGGAGATAAAATTTCTAAAATATTTTTATGGTAATCATCCAATAACCTATCCTATCTTAAGGCAGAGCAAGTAGTCCTAAATGATGTCTCCACAGCTCGAGGGTAACCATTATCTTGGAGAAGAACAGGATCAATAAATTCCTTGTGTTAAGTTTATCTGACAGAATATCTACAGGATTATGGATAATGACATTATCTCTCACTGGAGATAGACATCTTGAGACCACATGTCAAGTCTATGCCCACGCCCTCCCCGGGCCGTTGTCCCATTCTTGAAAGCCTTAAAAGACAGAATTATAGGTCTTTAAAGTGTGCCTCCTTTCTGAGTTTCCCATACTCCCTTTTCTTCGAGTGTGTACTTAGCCTTAAGTAAAGACTTCTTGCTGCTAAACTTACTGCATTTTATCTCTGTGCTCTTCCAAGCCTCTTGGAAGATTAATGAGACCCCTTTTCCCAGTAGTAAGCATCTTTGTTACGTCGCTATTTCATTTTATTTTCTAGACTTAAGCACAAGTCTTCACTCTCTCTGTCCTACTTCAGACAGTAGGGAAGAGCTCCTGAGGCCTCTGATTTGGGCTTGCACGCTCCTGTTGCCTGAGTGACCCAGACAGGACTGCAGCTATACAATCACGCTCTTTAGTAGCCTGCCCCCAAATCTCCTTTCTTTGCCTTTGGGAAGTTCTCAAAACATAATCTCATGCTCTGCGGCTCCCCCAAACCCTGGGGTGATAGGGGCTTAGTTCCCATGCTGTGCAGATTCAAGTGGACACTGGATGCCAGGGGACCCTGGCTTCAGGGGTTGGCAAAGGATTCACCCTATGCTGAGGAGTTCAATGACTTCCCTTTCCTCCCTCTGTCTTTCTTGCTCTCTGCTGCCTGCACCGCAGCTGCCATTCGCTGCTACTCTCTTTAATGAATACCTTCCTTACCTACACTTGTCTGATCTGTTTGAGAATTCTCCTTCAGAGTCAAGACTCCCCCGCCCCCCATCCAGGTTGAGTTTCATCTAGAGAACAGGGAGAGACCTCCCTAGACACAGCTGCCTGACAACAGCTGCATCCAGGAAGTCCAAAACCTAGCGAGACCAATTCCATTAGCTCTTAAGGCTCAAGAATATTCATTTTTGGTTCAGTGTTCCACCTTTCAGGTCTTCTAGGGTAGCAGAGTCACTCCCAGCACTCTGTGGAGTCCCACCCTCGAGGCTCCCTAAAAGTCACAGGCTAGTTGAAACTGAGGCACTGGTCCTGATCTCTGAATTGCCCCTGGGGTCATTTCTCCCTCTTCTTGAAGAACAGTGCACCATCACAGCCACATACCTCCATTATCCCATCCTGTCAGTTCATCCACAGACTTTCTCGTTTCAGTCCATTTATTTGTCCCCTTCAGTTCAAACTGTGTTTCTGCTCATCTAATCCCATAAACTCTATCAAATGGTTTTTCAGCCACTCTTGGTGTTCTTTTCAGAACTAACATTTTCATTTTTTTTTTTTTTGCAATATGGATAGGCTGAGAATTTTCCAAATCTTCAAATTCTGGTTCCTTTTTCCTTAATAACTCCTTCAAGTTCTCTCTCTCCTTCTGCATTTTATTATGAGCATTCAGAAGGAACCAAACTGCTTCATCAACAACTTTGTTTAAAAATCTCCTCAGCTAAATATTCAGTTTCATTGCTCACAATTCTTCCTTCCACAAAACACTCTAACACAGTTTAGTCAAGTTCTTTGCCACTTTTATAACAGGGACTGCCATTCCTCTAGTTTCCAGTAACATGTTCTCACTTCCATCTGAGACCTCAGCAGAATCATCCTTAACATCCATCTCTCTAACATGCAACTCAAATCTCTTCTAGTTTCTACCCATTAACCAGTTACAATGTTACACATTTAGGTGTTTATACAGCAGCACCCCACTCCTGGTACCCAAATCTGTCTTTGTCAGTGTGGGCTGCCATAACAAAATACCAGAGTGTATGTAACTTACACAGAAATGTATTTTCTCAGAGTCTGGAAACTAGAAGTCCAAGATAAAGGTGCCAGCATGGCTGGTTTCTGATGAGAGCTTTGTTTCTGGCTTATAGATGGCCTCCTTTTCACTGTGTCTTTACCTGATGGTTAGGGGAAAGGGAGAGTCACCTCTCAAGTACCTTTTCTTATAAGAGCACCAACCCCATCACAAGGGAACCACCCTCTAACCTCATCTAAACCTAATGATCTCCTACAGTCCCCATCTCCAAATACCATCTGATTGGGATTAATGCTTCAACATATGAATGGGGTGGTGGGGCAAACAGCTCAGCATGTCTTTAATTTCTCCAGGAGATTGAGAGAGGAGGGCAGAAGAGAAGGAATTAAAGACAATTCCTTGAGTTGGTACAGTATACTAGAGGAACATAGATTTCTGCCAGAGATTTTTCTGCTGGGATCCTGATTACCCCTTCACTGTAATAAGTTCAAGATGTGGCTATATACACTTCAAACTGTGTAAAGTAATTAAACAATGAACAGAACTTTTAAAAACCATTAACAGAATCATCCTTAACATCCATCTCTCTAACATGCAACTCAAATCTCTTCTAGTTTCTACCCATTAACCAGTTACAATGTTACACATTTAGGTGTTTATACAGCAGCACCCCACTCCTGGTACCCAAATCTGTCTTTGTCAGCGTGGGCTGCCATAACAAAATACCAGAGTGTATGTAACTTACACAGAAATGTATTTTCTCAGAGTCTGGAAACTAGAAGTCCAAGATAAAGGTGCCAGCATGGCTGGTTTCTGATGAGAGCTTTGTTTCTGGCTTATAGATGGCCTCCTTTTCACTGTGTCTTTACCTGATGGTTAGGGGAAAGGGAGAGTCACCTCTCAAGTACCTTTTCTTATAAGAGCACCAACCCCATCACAAGGGAACCACCCTCTAACCTCATCTAAACCTAATGATCTCCTACAGTCCCCATCTCCAAATACCATCTGATTGGGATTAATGCTTCAACATATGAATGGGGTGGTGGGGCAAACAGCTCAGCATGTCTTTAATTTCTCCAGGAGATTGAGAGAGGAGGGCAGAAGAGAAGGAATTAAAGACAATTCCTTGAGTTGGTACAGTATACTAGAGGAACATAGATTTCTGCCAGAGATTTTTCTGCTGGGATCCTGATTACCCCTTCACTGTAATAAGTTCAAGATGTGGCTATATACACTTCAAACTGTGTAAAGTAATTAAACAATGAACAGAACTTTTAAAAACCATTATGAGACTCAGGATTCTTCTGAGAACTTTGAAGCAATTTTAGGAAATAGGCTGCTAAACTTCACTTACTCTCTCTGAAACAGAACTGTGATAAGGTCCAAATGTCACAGTGAAATGAGGGTCTAACAGGTGGAACCAGAGGCAGGGACCGCACTGGAGAAGGATGGGTGTCAAATGTAATTATGGCAAGGCCAAGAGAGAATTAACTACCTGCCAGGCACTATTTCTAGAAGTAAATGTTTAACGGGTTTACACATCATAAAACAGCCAGACATGCTGTAGCTTGAGTTCAGTGTACACAGTGGGGCACTCTGACGGGAAGATGACAAGATGAGGGTAAGCTATGTAATGTCGAAGGGCTTTTCTAATACTAAATCCTCTACCTCTTCTACAAGGATATGGTTGGGACTTCTGGTTTCTGTGCTGCCTCTAGATGAGGATGTTGGCCCTGTTCTTACACGACTAAGGAGAAAGAGGCCTGGCAGGCCAGAAAGGAGAAATGAAATGATTAAGCTGGCATCATTAGTTCAAATGAACTCTGAGGCCACCCAGAATTTTAAGTTAAGGAAGAGGAATAAACAAGGGCTTGGGGGTGGAGGGATGGTAAAACAAAACCCCCCACAGACACCCATCAACAGTTCAGATAGCGGTGGAGGAAAGGAACTACATACCCAGTAAGCAAGCAGGATAGAGGGCTCCTGCTGAGGAAAGGATACCAGATTTTTTTGAGTTCCCCAGAAAAGGAAAGGAATGAGAAAGAGATCACTACAGCAAATTAAAAGGAAGGGTTAAGAAGAAAACAAACCTATTGAGAAAGCAACAAGAATCAGAAAAATTAGTAATGACTTGGAACAGCAACAGATCCCTTAGTTTATTCAGTCACCAGCAAAGTGCCTTGCATGTATCAGATGCACACTAAATAGCTGCGGAGTGAAAGAAAGAATGTTACTAAGTCCCCACAACCACCCCAGGACTGAGGTGTCCGAACTCCAAGACTAATATGGTGAGATACGACATACATATGTGCAACAGGAAAAGAATAAAATCTAGGATGTGGGGGAGAGACAGGCTAGCTACAATTTAGAACAGGGATAACCTTTAGATTTGTGAAGCCCTTGAAATTGTATGAAATTTGCAAGAAACAGAAACTGAAAAAAAAAAAATTCAGCTTACATTTTTCTAACGAAAGGGTTCAGAGCTTTTGATAAAGGGTGAGTTTATGAGCAATGGATTTGTTTTAGGTTAATTATTAGTGTTGATAATAGATTAGTGGGAATGTGATATAGAAGACATTTCCCTACATTAGCTATGAAATGAGCACAAAAATACCAAATTGTTATCTTTTGGACATATTACAAGGAAAAAAACACCTCAAAGATTCAGACCGAATACTGCTATTTTTGTTTCTCTTTATACTGTACTTCCCTCCCACCAAAGCAATTTTTTAGATACATGATCTCATTCATGTTCCTAATGTTGCCTAGTAAAGTTATGAATACACCAAAGGCACGTAACCATTTTAGGCTTTGATTTTGGTTTCTTAATAAAGGTTGAAGACACTTGCCTGAGTATTTTCACTAATAGTGATTCTTTAAATTGGACAGTATGCAAAACACATTCTTTCAGAGAATTTACACTCTAATGGAAAGAACTAGAGAGGCATACGCTCCAATTCTGTAGTGTTAGTAAAAGATTTCAACCTGAAACTAAGTGAAATTTCCAAGAAACAAAAACTGAAACACTCTACAGTGGCATCCTGAACACCTCTGAAACTCCATTGGCCTGATGTTGAATTTTTATATAAGTAGGAAAGCAAACTTCTGAACACATTATTTGGTACTGTTACTTAGTCGACCCCCCTTCCCTTTAATCTAGACAGAGAACGGAAAACCATTAAAGGCCCTATACTTCGGTTGTGTCTTTAAAAAAATACCCCAAGCCCCGCCCACCAAGGTTGAATCAAACGGGCCCTAAGGTGAAACAGGAACCATAGAAGAGGATGAAGAAGGAAAACACTCTGTATTGGAGCAATTAATTCAAAGCGCAGTCCTGGAACCACGAAACACAGTGGGAACATGTATATTATTTTCTTCTTCTTCCCGAGAGGGAAAGAGGTTAAGAAGTTGTAAGAAAGGCTGGACTACTCAATTCAGACAGAGGTCAGTTAAAATGGCCCGGAACCCGCGCCAAACTACAGAGAAGCATCGAGGTCAGTGTAGCAGAAAGGGCTTCGTAGACAGAGTGCTTTCTTGGGGGCAGTTACTTCGGGGGGCTTCAAAGTAAAGGAATGGGGTTGCGGAAGGGCGGCTCTTAGAGGGTGAAAGAGCAGAGGCTGGAAGGAAAGGCAGTAATAGGAGGGCAGGGGAAGGGAAGGAACACCAGAGCCGCCGGCCGAGGAGAGGCCAGGCGGGGGCCCGGGGATGGGGAGGAGAAAGGGAAGGGGAAGGGAAGGGAGCCCCGGCCCCGCCCCGGGGAGGCCCGAGCGCCCGCCCGCCCCCCTTACCAGCGGGAGCAGGAAGCCCCAGAGCAGGGCAGCTGCGGCGGCGGCGGCGGGCAGTGGACGCTGCGGCCCCATCGGGCTGGAGGGCGCTCGGTGGCGCCGCCGCGCTACTACGTGCTGGCCGACTCGGGGTCCCGCCACGGCGCTGCCCTCGGTGGCCGGCCGGGCTGGGGCGCGCGGCTGGGCTTGCCTGTGGCCGCGGCTGTTGGTGCGGCCGCCACTGCCGCGACGACTTCCTCTTCCGGCCCCTCCCCGAGGACGCGGAAACCCCGGCGCGGGCACGTGGAGGCTCCGGCCCGTGCGCGCCGCCAGCCGGGTTCCTGGTGCGTCCGCTCGCTGGCGGTCCACCGGCGGCGGGCTGGGCGTGGCTCTCTGCCGCTGCCGAACCTGAGCTTTCCCCCGAGCCCAAGGAGGCGAACGGACTTTTTCCAGGCCCTCCAACTCTTAAAGCCGCCGAGCGCCTACTCTCTTTACTATCCACGTGCTCCAGCCAAAAAAAAATCTTTGGGCTGCGAGTTTTAATTCACCTGCCCGCCGGCAGGCCTGACACTCACATACATATATCCCAAATCAATCCACTTTGTCCAAAACCTCTGTGACTACCCTCTCCAGGCCGCCCACCTTTCTCTGCCTCAAACTAGTCTCTATTTCCACTCCAGACAGCCCATTATCCACATAGCAGTCCTAGACAGAATTTTTAAGAAATATAAATCACATGTCGTCCCATCACACTTAGAACGAATTCAATACTCTGGCCTACAAAGTTTACTTAATAAGGTTCCTGCCTTTTCTGACACCATCTCCACTACTTTACCATGCTTGCTTTAAGCCACATGGGCCACCTTTAGTCCTTAACTTTGTACTGATAGTTCTCCCTGCTGGAATGCTTTTCTCTCTGAACACCTGGCTCTTTGGCATTTACTTATCAGCTTAAATGTCACTTCCCCAGAGGGAACTTCTAACATACCCAGCCTAAAGTAGCCACCCAATCACTTTCATGTCACACAATTTATATTAATTCTCTGCAAAGCACTTTTAGCTAGAATATTGTCTTATATGACTGTTCATTTTTTAATGATGTTGCTTCCCACTTGACAGCAAGGATTGTCTTTGTGCACTGTGATATCCCTTACACTTAGAACATTTGGTGTAAAGTAGGTCCTCAAATATTTGTTGGATGAATATTCAATACCAAACACTGAAGAAGATGCTGTCCCTGCCATTCTACAGCTCTAAGTTTAGTGAGGGATATAGAGGGGCAAGCAAACACAGTGCTGGGTGAATGCTGACTCTTTTGTTTGTACAAGATGCTATGGGAATATCAAAGGGATATATAAAAGGGGAGCCAGAAAAATTCCAGTCTAAGCTGATTCTAAAAGCATGAGTTACTTTTAGCTAGGCAATGGGTAGGGGAAGGGGAGACTTCCCTGAAGAGTGAACCATTAATGTCAAAGCCAAAGGTGACATTGGAGGAACTGCAAAACTTAGATTTGGCTGAAGTTATGAGTGGTGAAAGATGAAGTGAGGGAAGAGAGCAGAGGATAAATCACAAATAGATTGGGATATCCTGCTTGAGACTTTAGGCTTCATCCAGTTGGTGGTGGAGAGTAAATTAAACATAAGTAAAGCAGTGACCATTTCTGTTTTAGAAAGCTCTGTGTGTTGGCAGGTAGGGTGGCAGATGGATTGAAAGAGGGCAAGAGTAGAAGCCAGGATGCCCATTAGACGCCTGTAGTAATCTAACCCAGGCCAGGGGTAGTGAGGGCCTGACCTGAGACAGTGGCGTAAGAAATGGAGAGGAGGAGTTGGATTGGAAGGATTTGTAACAGAATTTGCTAACTGAGAAGATGTCAGATATGAAGGAGAGGGTGATTCCCAGAATCCTGCCCTGGGCCATCTATTGAGATGATAAGAGGAGATGTGTGCATGTTTGTGGCGGGATGTGTGTGTGTGTGTGTGTGTGTGTGTGTGTGTGTGTGTGCAGGGAGTGGTTAGTGAGGGAGGGAAATATTTTGGACATGAGTTTGAAATCTCTGTGGGACATCCAAGTGCAAATGTCTGTCGGTTGATGGCTAAGTGGATTGTCCAAAGCTTAGTGGCACAAGATGTCAGAACTCAGGTCTCCTGCTTGTTAATCCTAGACTCCATTCACACTTTCCAGCTGCTTAGGGCAAGCAAGTTTCCTTTTTTGTAAAATGACTGTAACAGACTAGATGACTTCGTCTCTGCATACTCCCTTCTGCTCACAGTGAATCTTGCCAGTGAATTCCCTTCTTGCCTAGTGAATCTCTAAGGTGGATCCTGAGGCTGGCTGGAGATCTACATTTTTGCCCACTTTTCCTTCCCTTCAATGGGAGAAAATTCTGTACTTGCAGCCAAAGAACCTGTATGACAGGCTAGTTCCTTGTGCAATCCCTCTTTGCCTGTTTTAATTTTCTCAGCTGAAAAATGTGCACGGTTATAATTCCTGTTCTGCCTGCCTCACATGATTATTGTAAAAATTACATGATTTGTAATGTGGTGTCCTGCCAATGAATTTCAGCCCCAGGCAAGTTCGCTATGGATTCACTGTGACCAAAGAAATCAACAGCAAAACGTTCTTAGGGTGAAAGGGTTTATTACCCAGCTTGTTCTGCGGCGGTAGGTCGAGCACTAGCGTCTCTGCCTCTGCCCAGAGCACTGGGCTGAGCTCTCTATATAGCGCAATTTATAGCTTATTGCCTAAAGGTGTGGAAGCGGCAGCCCAGCAACAGGCCAGTTACATCATCAGGTGGTTTAAGTTCAGTGAGGATCCTGGCCATAGGAACCCCAACTTCCCCACATGTGGGTAAAATTACTCTGAAAAAATATTTTAAAAGTACAAGGAGGAGGGGAGGAGGTGAAGGAGAAGAGAAATAGAAAGCTGTGTTATTGCTGCAATCCAGTGTCAGCACTGTTTGTTATAGTTCTTCTGCCAAGATGGTTTCTCCTTGGTCAGTGTCCCTGTGCAGGATGAAGTGAAGGAAAATGGGAGGATTCATGGCCAATTAAGAATTCTTATTTAATGACTTTTACTATTGGAAAGGTTGTTAAAGGTTATTTGGAGTATACCTCTGTTACACATGAATTTCCCTGTAAGTATTAGGTAATATAAAGGATATCTAGATAATTTTTAGTTAGTATTTTTCTTCCCTAAAAAAAGATGGGTAACAAGCATCATTAGATTAAAGACAGTTTTAATTTCTAAACATTAGGTGTTTATTTGATGGGATATTTTTTCTAGTGGTAAAAGAATTTTACAGATTGTCAGAACCTTTCTGTACTCTAGGAAGTAAGAAGAAATATTGGGTCCATTTTACAAAAGGAGCTGCTAGGTTGATGACAGGAGGAGGAGCTAGAACCCCCCCGCCCCCCCCCCCCCAGTGCATTAAGTCATTCAGAGAACCTCATCAGCAGACACGAAGTGTTGGTAATGAGCCTCAAGGACATTCTTAGTCAATCTGGAGAACTACTTCAGCATAGAGCAGTGATTCTCAATGTTGACTACTTATTAGACTCACGTAGAAGACTTTTAAAGGATACTGATGCCTGCATTCCACTGCTCCTCACCTCCCCATGCAGATCCTAAATTTCAATGGTCTGAATACACTACTCTGGCTGTGTAGCATACTTTTTCAAGTTCCTCAGGTGATTCTAATATATAGCCATAGTTGATAAACTTTGCCTTAATCGGGATTCTGTAAATGTGGCTCTGGACCAGCCATATCAACATTACCTAGGAACTGTGAAAAATGCAAAGTTCTCCATACATACTGAAGCAGAAACTCTGAGAGTGAGGCCCAGCAATCTGTTTTAATAAGCCCCCTAAGCAATTCTGATGCATACTGAATCTTCAGAACTAGTCATTTAGAGCAACCTTCCTTATCTCTGTCTGCATATTAGAGTCATCTGTAAAGTTAAAATTTTAAAAACCCCTTATGCTGTGTGGGCAGAGAGGCCCAGAGGAAGGCTGTGTGGGCAGAGAGGCCTGAGGCAGAGACTGGCTTGTTGCATGTAGGCTCGCTCTGAGTTGATGGGATTTTAGTGATTGAGCTGCCACTGTGGAAATAAAGTTGGGTATGACCCTTTCACCCAAGAACGTTCCACTGTCATTTCGTTGGTCATACTGAATCCATAGTGAACTTGCCTGGGGCTGAAACCCATTGGCAAGACAATTGGCGTAGTTGGCAGGATTCACTGGTGATCAAGGAAAAAGAACAGGCTGCCCTCATGGAAGGAGTGTTTCAGCAGGCTGCATCTATGGATAGGGAGACATTCGAGTGTCCCCTTTGGACATGTGTTACTGTGAAGGGGTGGAGTACTGGGGTCCACCCCAAGAGAAAGCTGACTGAAACAGCATCGCTATGAAGTGCTGTGGCCCGAGAGGAAGCAGCATGAAAAGAAGCAGCGGCCCGAGAAGGAGCGGCATGAGGAGAAGCAGTGTGGGAGTGCAGGCTTCCAGGTGCCTTGGGGCAGGTGAAGGAAAGGCCTGAGCAAGAGCAGCACAAGGAGCAGCAGCACGCAGGCTGCCAGGTGCCGTGGGCCAAGAGAAGGATGTAGTGGAGCTGTCAGCCCCAGAAATGAGGAGCAGAGGTTTGACAAACAGGTGGGGGTGAAGGCCCTGCTGGTGCTGGAGGCATCAGCCTCTCCTCAGTTGAGACCCCACCTGGTTGAAAACTGGTGGAAAGCCAGAAGGACTCGGCAACCATGGGTTCTTTCAGGAGAGGTGCAGCCCCCTCCTCGGGTGTGGAGCACTCCATGCTCTGCTTCTATCCTCAGGCTCAAGCACAAAAGGAAATATGGTCTGCTTCTCGAAGGAGGGATTTAAAGGGCCCTGTGAAGGTCACGAGGACCCAGATGTGGGTTGGTTTGAAAAGGTAGGAGCAGACAGAAAGAAATTGGACTGGAGCTGTGGCGATTGAGACTGGAGCAGCGGTTCCGACTGTTGAGGATGAAGCAGAAGGCAGAGATAAAGCAACAAGATTGGCCTGTGTGTCTGCAAGACTTTTTGCTGGAGATGCTGGAGAAGGTGGGTATTGTAAGGCCCACCCATGGTCCTTTTGGCTAACTCCTTTGAGTAGAACTGATTTGAATACAGCCAGGATGACCACTTGGTGGCAATGGATCTCCTCAGGCTTGAGGGGTTTTTGTATATTGTCGTAGATCATGGAATTTGGTTACAATTGTTCGAGTTTCCTTGCACAGGGACCATTGCAAAGGATTGAGGGCACATAGATTGAGAAGAGAGAATCCTGGAGGAGTGGAGTGAGGAAAAAATGAAAGTTCCTGTGGTCAGGATTCTCACCTGGCCCTGGTTGGCTAACTCACTACACACGTGTGGGCAATACGTTGCTATTGACTCTATATAAAGAACTCTGCCCAGTGCTCTGGGCAACATGGTGGACCACTGCAAGGCTGCAGGAGAGCAGAGCAGCCTTTACCCAGAGCAGAGACTCTTGTGGTGGCAGTGCCCAGGACAGAGGCCCAGAGGA